GCACACACACACACACACACACACACACACACACACACACACACACACTGAACGATTGGTGTCAATGGGTGCGAACCAGACGTGGGGGTCCCGCAGACAAGGCGAAGGCAGCAACAACAGCCACTAAGCTGTAATCAAGCCAGCTGATCAAGGGGAAGTAACTCTTTGTCTCCTCACAACACAGTGTGACAGTAACGCCCCTTGTCCTGGGACCCACACTGGCGGGAGGCGAACATAATTTGTGCGTGTTGTTTTTTCTGACGGTATCGAATCTCTGTTTGAGTATTAGAGGGGTATCTAGCCTAGTAATAATAATAATAATACATGTATCCGTTTCAATGTGCTCAAGATCGTCTTCTTCCGTTCGCCAAGTATTGAGACTATGTGGTGTGTACTTGTCGTATGTTTTTTTTTTGTTTTTGTTTTTTTGTTTTTTTTTTTTTTTAGGGGTGGGGATGGGTTGCTGTTGTTGTTTCTATGGGAGGGATTAAAGGCGGGGGCTGGGTTTTTTTGGGGGAGGTGGTCTTTTTATTTTTTGGGGGAGTACTATTAAAACATATATCAAGGAATACACCATTGCAAAGTAAATTATTTATAATATTGTACTCGAGTTCAACAAAATTAGTAATTCTCAAATTGCAGACTTATTTCGTCACATCCTTTATCGATATTACCAAGAAAACCCAGTTCAAGTTTCCTTCCTCCACATACACCAACAACGACAAACTAAAACCAGTGATCTTACTTTGGGCTCCTCCTGCTATTTCACTATCGATGTTGTGCAGAATACTCATTCCAGGTATCGAGGGCGACATCATCATCATCATCATCATCATCATCATCATCACCATCATCATCATCATCATCTTCATCATCATTTTGAGCATAATGTTGTTGTTTTTTGTTTTTTGTTGTTGTTGTGTTGTTGTTGGGTTTTTTTGGGGGGGAGGCACGACAATTAGATACGAATGTACCTGATACGAAAGAGATCCTTACAAAGACACCAGAAAAGGGAACAGTGGAAAAAGAAAAAGATGGTTTCTCCCTGCCAGTATACAGCCAATTCCAGGGGTCCCTATCCAATATTATATCCACGTGACGACACATGTAAACCGTTGCCTAGAAACGTCGAAGTTACCCGCAAGGCTGTCAGGCTCGTAACTCAAAGGCCATGGTTTCGAACCCTTTCAGGGGCCCGACGATGTGTCTTTGGGAAAGGCATTTTAAACGAATTTTCCTCACTTCACCAAGATGGGAATGGTTACGCGGCTATAGACAGCGAAAAATATTTCCAGTTCGTTAGCGTTCGAGCACTGCTTGCACTTAATGCTTCCCGGGAAGCTGGGAACCTTTCTGGGTGTTCTAGGGTCTGATGGGTAATACATAGTTGCAAAGTGCATGTAGCTTTCTGAAGAGCGTGGGTGTATGCTGTATAAATTTTATAGTGCGGTCAAAACTTTGTCGCACAACTTATCCTCAAAAATCTCTTAAACTGGTGAATCACCGTCACTCCTACTTTGCTCTGCAGTTTGTATCAATTTGTTTTAACTTAACCATATTTTTCCACGACAACTGAGGATAGATTTTTTAAAAATTATTTAACATAAATGTATATAAAATACTATAAATCTTGAGGGTACGGTGGCGCGGCCTTGGCGCTTTTCCCTTTCGTCAACCCGCAGCCACCTCCCGAATCGTCAGCCACCACCTAACCTTTGACACGGGTCAAACTTCCATCTATTTATAGGTAGTTAGATCTACCGGAACATGTATTAGGCGAAGTGATGTGCAATGATAGTCGCAATAGAGAGATTGTTTTGGTCTCTCTTTACCCATCTGCACCACTCGAATTTAATTGATGTTTTTCTCTGGACTCTGCCTTTACTAAAGTCTCGAATCTAGATCTAGTTGTAATCTAGTTGCAGGTTGCAGATTTAATAAATTGCCGACAGAGAGAGAGAGGGAGAGAAGGGGGAGGAGTAGATCTTGCGAGTAAGTTGCGAGATCTTCCGGCTTCCGGGCAAAACAAAATGGCGACCCGCGTAGTTCGGCTCGATTCGAAAAGTGAAAGAGCCATAGCATCTTTGTAGACGATCAAATTAGCTTACTTTTGTGCTATAACGTCATTTTTTTCTTTGCTTTTGTCAATTTGATCATCCACACCGATAGAAAGTATTTCGAAATTAGGAAAAACAGGTCTTGTTTCACACTGGGTGAGAATAGCCAACGCTAGCAAGTCTCACCCGGGGTGAGAGGTCAATCGTAGGGTTTTTATTCTCACCCCGGGTGAGGATAACCAGTCCACTTCCTTACTTAAATGATTAGGTGATTAAACTTGATCTCTTATTGACAATATAAAAGTCAATTTAAGCTTCAGTTCGTTAGAAAAAAATGTGTTAGGTTTGCTAACTTCTTAGACTTTGTGTTAATTAAACAACAGTTTTAACAAAACGAATCCTTACAAGCCTCGGCTTGGCCTTTGTAATCTCGAAGGTTTAGAAGTAGAAGTAGAAGAGTCTACTACTAGAGTCTAAGAGTCTAGTCCAATTTATTTAATCTCTTGAATGTACATGTACTGGATAACAGAAATCTGCAACCTGCCATTAGATTACAACTCTAGATCTAGATCTAGATTCGAGATTTTAGTAAAGGCAGAGTCCAGGGAAAAACTTCAAGAAATTCTCACGGTGATGAGTAAAGAGAGACCAAAACAATCTCAATAAATAACATATCGCGACTATCACGGCACATCACTTCACCTATACATGTTCCGGTAACTACCTATAAATAGATGGAAGTTTGACCCGTGTCAAAGGTTGGTAGGCCTATGTGGCTGACGATTCGTTAAGTGGCTGCGGGTTGACGAAAGGGAAAAGCGCGGGGCCTAGTGTGCTCGTCTCCGTAGCGGAAAGTCCGGGTTCGAGCCTCGGTTCGGACACGGATTTTTTCGCCCCCTCCCGCACACCCAGCAGTAATAAGTACCTGACTTCGGGTTGGGGAAGTGAAGGCGGCGTGGAAAGGAACTTACCACCCTACCACAATAAGCTGAAGGCCAAGGAAGTTGTCTCACTAATGGGCCAATCCACAAAGTCCGGATAGGATGCGGGAACAACTTTATTATAAAATCTCTGTCACGCGGAAAATGGGATTGTTCACGGCACTTCTTGCTTCTTGCGCACATTTTGTATGACCTCATCACAGCTCAACAATGACACTTTTTTGTAGCAAAACTTGTTACAAGAAATTAATTTTATAGATCTAGTAAACACATTTTTTGCCTTAAAGGTTCTCAAAACATGCGTTCAATAAGCATAATGTCTCGATTAGAAAAAAAATTATAGACTTGCTTTTAAAAGCAATATTACCCGAGCTATAAACTTTTTAAAAATCAGTAGAAACCATTAACGTGGATTTTTTATTATTATTTATTAAGGAATTTTCTGGAATACAGTGTACTGGTGTTTAAAAAAGAAACAGCCATCAGTCAAGACAAATTGATATAAGTCATTGTGCAAACGTTGGAGAGTCTATGTTCAATAGTTAAGGAGATATTTGACAGTAAGGTACGCCACGAATTTTTGAACACCCTATAATGCAATTGTTATGGATCTACTCTGACAGAGGCATCTGGTGGCGTCGGTAGCCTAGTGGTTAGGCTACCAGACTCGTAATCGTGAGATTGCGGGTTCGGGGGTTCGAGCCTCAGCTCGGTCCGACGTTGTGTCCTTGGGAAAGGCACTTTACACGAACTTCCCACTTGGCTCGGTCCTATCGGAGACCAACGTTAAA